GATCCCTGTTAGGACTGAATCAGAACCAATTGTGAGACCAGTTTTGAAACCGATTCCAGCACCAACTCTTCAAAAGACTACGTCTCCTATTCCAGTCACTCCTTATATTCCTTATCATCAAAGATTAAGGAATTAGAAGGAAGAATTACAATTTAAAAAGTTTCTTGAGGTTTTTAAACAGTTGCACATAAACATTCCTCTGGTTGAAGCTATTGAGCAGATGCCAAGTTATGCAAAGTTTTTAAAAGACATTTTGAGCAAAAAGAAAAAGTTGACTGAATACGAGACCGTAGCTCTGACTGAAAGTTGTAGTGCTTTGTTGTCCAGTAAAATTCCTTCTAAGATGAAAGACCCTAGAAGTTTTACAATCCCTTGCTCAATTGGAGGAAAAGAAATAGGAAAAGCTCTGTGCGACTTAGGTGCTAGCATAAAGCTGATGCCTTTATCTGTCTTCAATACCCTAGGCATAGGTGAAGCTAGACCTACGACTGTAACTCTACAGTTAGCTGATAAGTCTATAGTCTATCCCAGAGGAAAGATTGAGGATGCCCTAGTTCAGGTTGATAAGTTTATTTTCCCAGCTGATTTTATCATCCTAGACTTTGAAGCCGACAAAGACATTCCCATCATTTTGGGGAAACCTTTTCTAGCTACTAGTAGAACCTTGATGGATGTACAGAAGGGAGAATTAACCATGAGAGTCCAAGACCAACAAGTGACTTTTAATTTTTTAATTCCCTTAGGTACCCGGAAGAAAGAGAAGAGTGTTCTGCTTTGAGTCTGATAGAAACATGGTGTCAAGAGAAAAGTTTGGGGGAAATCTTAGGCTTATCTGAGACTGATAGTGATGAAGAGGAAGATTTTGAGGAATTAGAAACACCACAAGAATCTGCTGCTTTTGAAGTTTTAGAATCTGAGGATAGGAAGATTCTTGTTCCTTCCTTAGATGTTGCCCCAGATTTAGAATTAAAACAACTTCTCTCACATCTGAAGTATGCCCTTTTAGGAGATTCAGGGAAGTTACCAGTCATCATTTCATCATCATTAGAAGCTGATCAAGAAGAAAAGTTGGTTGACATGTTGAAACTTCATACCAAGGCCATAGGATGGACAATTGCTGACCTAAATAGGATAAGTCCCACCATTTGTCAACATAAAATTATCTTGGATGACAAAAGTTTCAACTCCGTTGAGCCTCAAAGAAGACTCAATCCTGTTATGAAGGAGGTTGTCAAAAAGGTGATTTTAAAATGGCTTGACGCTGGCATAATTTATCCTATTGCTAGTAGTACCCGTGTCAGTCCTGTGCAATGTGTACCTAAAAAGGGTGGAGTCACTGTTGTACCAAATGAGAAAAATGAACTTATACCTACTAGAACAGTAATTGGTTGGAGGATATGTATGGACTATAGGAGGCTTAATAAAGCCACTCAAAAAGACCATTTTTCATTACCCTTCATAGACCAAATGTTAGACAGACTAGCAGGAAAAGAGTTTTATTGTTTCTTAGATGGCTACTCCGGTTACAATTAGATTGCCATAGCAATGGATGATCAGGAAAAGACTACTTTCACATGTCCATATGGAACTTTTGCTATTAGAAGAATGCCTTTTGGACTTTGTAATGCCCCTACCACTTTCCAAAGGTGTATGATGTCTATTTTCTCAGATATGTTAGAACACTCCATGGAAATTTTCATGGATGATTTTTTCAGTTTATGGAACATCATATGACCCGTGTTTGCAAAACCTTGAAAAAAGTCTTAAAAGATGTGAAGAAACAGATTTGGTTTTGAACTGGGAAAAGTGTCATTTTATGGTAAAAGAAGGCATAGTGYTAGGGCATTTAATTTCCAAAAGAGGCATTGAAGTTAATAAAGCAAAGTTAGAGGTAATAGAGAAGTTACCTGAACCAACAACTGTCGAAGGGATTARAAGTTTTCTTGGACATGCAGGTTTTTATAGGAGGTTTATTAAAGATTTCTCAAAAATATCAAAACCTCTTTGTTTATTATTATAGCATGACCATGTTTTCAATTTTAATGAAGATTGTAGAAATGCTTTCAACATTTTAAAAGAAGCATTGGTCACTGCTCATATGGTAATAACACCTGATTGGTCCAAACCCTTTGAGATAATGACTGATGCTAGTGACTGGGCAGTTGGAGCAGTGTTGGGTCAAAAGAGAGAAAAGATTTTTCATCCCATTTATTATGCAAGCAAAACTCTTAATGATGCTCAAATCAATTACACCACTACTGAAAGGAAATTATCAGCCGTGGTCTTTGCTTTTGAAAAATTCAGGTCATACTTGATGGGAACCAAAGTAATTGTTCATACTGATCATGCTGTCATCAAGTATCTTATTTCTAAAAAAGATGCAAAGCCAAGGTTAATAAGGTGGGTCTTGCTTTTGCAAGAGTTTGATTTTGGAGATCATTGATAGAAAAGGGGTGGATAATCAAGTGGCCGACCATCTGTCAAGATTGGAAAAACAAGACAAACCAGTGCAAAGTAGTGACATCTGTGAAGTATTTCCTGATAAAAGAATTTTGGTTCTTAATCATATTACTGTGCCTTGGTTTGCTGATCTTGTTAATTATTTAGCTTGTGGGATTATTCCCAAGGAATTTAATAAGTATCAAAGAAGAAGCTCATCTATGATGCAAATAAATATTTATGGGATGATCCTTTCTTGTTTAAAATTTGTGCAGATCAGGTAATTAGAAGATGCATCCCAAAAGAAGAAGTACCATCAGTTCTACAGCACTGCCATGCAGGACCATGTGGAGGACATTTTGGATAAAGTAGGACAGCATCCAAGGTTTTACAATCAGGATTCTACTGGCCTACTTTRCAYAATGATGCTCAAAACTTTGTAAAAAGTTGCAATGAGTGTCAAAGGAGTGGAAATATCTCTAGAAGAAATGAAATGCCTTTAAACGGAATTCTAGAAATAGAATTATTTGATGTTTGGGGTATAGACATCATGGGACCTTTTCCTCTGTCCAATAATTGTGCCTACATATTGGTAGTTGTGGACTATGTATCCAAATAGGTGGAAGCCATGGCTTGCCATTCCAATGATGCTAAAACAGTTGTGAAGTTTTTACAAAAGCACATATTCACTAGATTTGGTACACCTCGTGCCTTGATTAGTGATGAAGGCACTCACTTTATAAACAACATGTTAGAAGAAGTCCTTGATAAGTATGACATCAAGCATAGGGTAGCAACAGCCTACCATCCTCAGACCAATGGATTAGCTGGATTATCAAATAGGGAGATAAAAGGGATTTTGGCCAAAGTAATCAAGCCACATAGAAAGGATTGGGCCTCTAAGTTAGATGATGCATTGTGGGCCTACCGGACTGCTTACAAAAACCTTATTAGTATGTCTCCCTATAAATTGATCTTTGGAAAAGCTTGTCATTTACCTGTGGAATTAGAGCACAAGGCCTATTGGGCCATTAAGGAACTGAACATGAGTTTAGATGAGGCCGGAAGAAAAAGGACTTTGCAGCTTTGTGAACTGGAAGAACATAGGAATTTCTCCTATGAAAATGCTAAGATATACAAAGAAAATACCAAGAAATGGCATGATAAAAAGATTCTTCCAAAAGAGTTCATAGAAGGCCAAGAAGTCCTGTTATTTAATTCAAGGTTAAAATTATTTCCAGGAAACTTGAATTCCTGATGGACCGGACCTTTTGTTATTTCCAGGGTATACCTCTACGGAGTCATTGACCTGATAGATCCGAAGAGGGGTACCACTTTCAAAGTGAATGGACAAAGATTAAAACCTTTCTTTGAGTCCATGAGTATTGCACAACCTATTGAGGTTATCTTTCTAAAATAATAAGTCTTTGTAAATATTTAGTATTTATATATATAAGTATAAGTTGTTATTTTATTTTTCATTTTTTCATTTTAAATTTTTAGGTTAAGCTTTTATTTTATTTTCTATAATAATTATATATATATATATATGTGTGTGTGTGTGTGTGTGTGTCTATAGGCTCTTATATTTTTAATTTATCTTTCATTTTAAAATTTTCAGTTTACTTTTCTTAGAATAATTAGTTCTTTTATATTAGGTTTATATATATATATATATATATATATTGGGTTTTGTTTTAAATAATCTTTGGGCTGGAAATATATTTAAAGCAAAAGGCCCAATTTCTGGTTATTATTAACCAGGCCGGCCAACACGATTTTAACCCATTTGTGTGTATTGCTGGCAGGCCAAGAAAAACAAAGGGGAGCCCAAGATGAAAGTCACGAGAAGGGAAGCCCAAAAAGAGAAGGCCGCGAAGATGAGCCCAACGACTAAGCCTGCGATCGGTACGGCCTTGACAAAAAAAAATCCCGCGCAATCGTACCTGTTAACGTCCGGCGACTGTCCTTTCGTCTCCTAACTCTCAACTCACCAGTAACATCATCGTACTCTCTTCTCAATCACACCAGGAACATAAGCCATAGCTCATCAAATAACCATTCTCAAGAAGGAAAGGACTGCATTGAACTGGCATTGTTAAGGAATGTACCATTTCTGACTAATATTCATCATAGCCGATAATTGTCAATCATCCAGGGAAGTTTTGAAATTTTTGAAGCAAAAATCTTGGAGAAGAAGTTTAATCAAGCATATAACCCTCTGATCACTATTCATACACCATTTGGGTTCTTTTCTAACCACTGTTCATAACCGTTATTCTTCTTTGCCCCAAGAACCATTAACAGTCCCCTGTTTCATTTGTATGGCCATTATTAAAACTCGAGCAAGAAGAAGGGAAGGGGAATCTGATTCTATGCCTCCTGCGACCAATCATGATCACTCCAGTGAGAGTGAAGAAGAACCTATTGATGCCATTCCCTTAAGGCAGGTCCCTTTTGCTAAGACCAGACCTCAACCATTCACTCAACCCCAAAATCAGGCTACTGTGATTGTGAAGTCAGAGCCATAGCCTTTTCCACAATACCAATTTGGCCCAAGAATGACCAGAAGCAGGGCAAAGGGTTTGATCAATTTCAAGCCAATAAAGCAAAAAAAGGGTACTGTGATTGAAGTATCTGATGATAGTGATTCACCATCCACAAGGCATGGTGTTCAGAACAGCTCAAGCAGACCAACACAAGAGGACTCAACCTTTTTGAATATGATGGCAGATGCAACAACTCAGATGAGCACTCAGAGCATACCTTCAAACATCACAGAGAGGCTCCAAACAGGTTTAAAAGTTTCTGGACCTTTAACTAGGGATTTATTGTCTAGCTTTCCTGTTTATCCTCAAGCCAGTGTGGGCTTTATGTTAAGAAGATCTGTGGATGAGGCCATTGCTGCCTCTAAAGAGGTATTGGGCATAAGATCAGCAACTTGTGCCCCTTCTATAGCTATGATCCGAACTCAGCCTTTTATGGCTGCCCAAGCATCTAAAAAGGGAAATTCATCCCTTAAGCACTCTGTTAGTGCTGCTCTGGCAGCCATGGACAGGATGATTAGGAGGGAATCAGAGTGTAATCCAGCCCCTGCCCAACCACCTGTTACCACCACCCATGCACCTGCTTTCTTTAGAAACATGCCCATTGAGTTCAATTTCATGAACTCACCACACTTCACCACTATTCCTGTTTCATCATCCACTGTAGAACCTATACTATATAACCATGGATCCACATCTCAAACAATGCCTAAACCAACCCCTGTTGAAACAACCCCTGTTGAAACAGCCCGTGTTGAAACAAGTCCTAAACCAACCCATTTGGAAACAACCACTACCAGCCCTCTACCCTCACCAAACCAGCCTACAACCACACCTTCCACACCCACTGAACCTGTTATCCTTTTGCCATAAATTGTATCCATCCAAGAACTAGACTTTGTCTTAGGCCTATCACCCACAAATCCAAGCCTCACACCCTTTGAACACAATGAAGACCCTTTTGACCCACAAAACACCCCTGTCACTCAAACACCACAACCCTCACCCCATTTCACTCAACCATTCATGCCTAGTCCTAACCAACCTACTAACCCTTTACACTCTGGGATTCATGACTACTATGAAGGTGTACATTCTGCCCACCATAGTCCTGAGCATAGCAGCCTTCATATGGAGCAAGAAAGAGAGGAGGTTGATATAGGGGCTAGTTTGAGAAAGAGAATGCAAAGGAAGAAAAGAATGAGCAGAATTGAAACAAGAAGTTCCAAGAGGAGGAGAGAGGATAGTGAGAGATCAGAGGCTGAAGAAAGGGCATCTAGAAGAAGAAAAAGGCCAGAGCAACAGTTTGAGGAAGGGCCAGGTATTTTTTTTGAAACCCAAGCACTTGTTTAGCACACCCTTAGCAAGGAAAACATATTTGCAATTTTCTGAGAAGGTAGGGGTAGTACAAAAGGGGTTTTCACAAYAGCTATTGTTGGCCAATCCTRACATCAAKGCCACAATAGATTCTTTGGGTTGGGAGACTCTATGTGACACACCTAACCAATACAATCTTAGTTGGGTTAGGGAGTTTTACACTGAGGTAGCAGTCACTGATGGGGTAGACTTAAGAGTGAGAAAGACTCCTGTTTCATACTTACCCAATGCCATAAATGACCTACTAGAGCTCATCCCACCTTCATACTTTGAGTTAGATAGGTTGACTGCTGGGTGCACTGATGAAGAGCTTGATTTGATCTTAGCTAAGGTAGCCAAGGAAGGGGCTGTTTGGAGTTTCAAGGGGAGGCTAGGCTGCTAAAAACCCAATATCTGAAGCCTGAAGCCAATCTACGATTTTATTTCTTGAGACACACCATTCATCCTACTAGCCATGACACAAATATGTGCTTAGAAAGAGTACTAATCCTCTATTGCATTTTAGAGGCTAGGCCATTTGATGTTGGGAGGATGATATGCTCCAACATCAAGGCATGTGTGGAGAGAACAAATGGCAAGTTGCTATACCCTTCCTTGATTCATAGGCTCATGCAAAAGGCCCAAGTCTTAGCCTTGCCCAAGGATGTGATGTCTATAGAAAAGACCTCCATAGACAAGAAAATTTTGGATAGATTAATGATGGTGAATGCCAAGGTACAACCAGATGCACCAACTTCATCCATGGCTGCCCTAAAGGATGAATTGTTAAAAGCAATGGAGAATCACACCAATGCTTTGAAGAGAACAATAGTGAAGAAGCACCACAAGCTAATGAAGAAGGTGGATGACTTGAAGAAGGAGGTGGACATTTTGAAAAAGAAAAGGGTACAGTGGGCTGAGTACAAAATATAGAAAGAGAGGATGCTTAGAGCTACTGCCAAGCATGGGAAATCAAAGAAAACAGTCAAGCTCCCACCTCCACCAAAGTCCATCCTCTTGCAGCACTCAGACTCTCCTACTCAGTCTGAGTAGGACAGGTTCTACACTCTTAACCTTTGCATATATTCCAATTTTAGTTATGCATGATCTTTTAGTATTAAGTTAGCTGTTTTAAAAAGCCCTTGGCTACTTTGTTGTTTCTATATATATAGTTAACTGTTTTTAGCTATTGTTTGTTGTTTTCAAGTACCTCATGTAGTAAGTTTGATGCATGCATGGGTAAGTCTGTTGTTCTTTTTCTCTTTGTTTTGGCAATAGCACCTAACCAATGTTATGACTATGATTCTATTCTTTGCTGTTTTAACATGATTTGTCTAAACTTTAAATTTGTTGTTTTTAATGGTTAGCTGCTGCCTTGGTTTGCTGTTTTAACCCTCTTATTTTGAATTGCTGTTTTAAACTTGAGCAGCACCTTTCATGCATTTTGATTTGTTGTTTTAGATTAGTAGCTATTTCACCTCTGTTTGCAAAAACAGAGTCCATTAGCTTAGTTTTTAATTTGCTTTGATATTTTTGATACAGAGTCTTTGATTTGCTGTTTTAACTTAAGCTACTGTTATGCTTATAATTTGCTATTCAAAGTTAGATAATTTCTTCAAAGTCTATTCATGTTTGCTGTTTGGAACTGCTTTATGCAGTAACTTTCTGGTTTGCCATTTGCTGTTTTTTCATTTGCTGTTTTTAAACAATTTCGATTCTATTTTGCTGTTTTGAGTAGTGATCATTTCACTTATGTTTGCCAAAACAGAATCCATTAGCTCAACTTTTCATTTCTTTTGTTTGTTGTTTCTAACTATAGAATGGTGTCTGTTTTGCTGCCTTAAGCACTTGCTGCTTTGCTGTTTTGACATAAAGTACTGCTATGCTTATATTATGCTATTTTCCTTTGCTGTTTTTAGCATAATTTTTTGTTCTTTCTCTTTAAATTTGCTGTTTTTAATAGCTAGTTTCTACCTTTGTTTTGCTGTTTTAGGTTGGTATTTTAGTTTCATTTTGCTGTTAAAAGCATAAGCCTTCTGCTGACTTCCATTTGTTGTTTTAAGATCTAATTTCATGTTTGATTTTGTTGTTTTCAATAGCTCTTTGCTGTTTCAAAGTCCTGATTAGTTGTTATCCTTGATTTTGCTGTTTTAACCTTCTTACTTTCATTTACTGTTTAAACCTTGATCAGTCCTTCTCATTTTTTTTTCTTTACTACTCAGACCATGCCTATTTGTTTTAGGATGATTCTGTCTTAAGTGTTATGCATTGATACCCATGCACTTCCTTTGGCTATTTTAGCATTTCTTAAGCATGCTTTATGTTGTCTCAAAGCTTTGTTGTTTTAAGACTGAGACAATCATACTCATGCATTCTATTTGCTGTTTTTAGCTCTTTTTAGCATATCATAGTCTAAGGGCATGGTGTACATATATATTGATAGTTTTGTCTCCTTTTTGCCTCAATTAAGGACATTTGCTGTTTTTAGGATATCATATAGTCCTTTTCATGCACTAGTTTTGCCGTTTTGGTAATATCAGGTTGTTGTTTGCATAGCTGGTCTGATGGTTTTGAGGGAGGACCATGGTTGATGTTCTCATTTGTTTACCTCCCTAGTCTATGCTAAAACAAGTTCAGGCTAAGTCATAAGAGGACAATGGCAATCCCATTGTCTGGTTCCATTTGGTATTTTTCATGGTGAAACAATGGCAATCCCATTGTTTAGTTTCATATGCCCATGTTGTTTGGTAATGCAGTCCTCTGGTTGACTGTTTTTGTTTGAAACTCATTCCATGTACCACATCCTCACTCTATGGTCAATTTGACTTAGAGTTGGATTGTTGGTTGTGTTTAAATCCTTCAGTTGAGTCTTTGAGTCCTTTTATTTGCACAAGATGACAAAGTCACACTTGTGACTTCTCATCTTTGCTTTTCTGTTTCAATGGTTTTTAGTTTGAGTCCTTTTTCTTTTAAAGATAGTCAATTACACTTGTATTGATCATCTTTGCTTTTCTGTTTCATTTTAAGATTTTGGGCACTGATTTTTAAGTAGCATATCTTCCTTTAGCCTTATATGCACCAAAAATAGAATAAAAGATGAATTTGTTGTACAAAAGCTTGAATTGATGCCACAGCCACAATAATCCAAAGTTTAACCATCTTTGTCTTAAATTGAGCCTCTAGAACTAGCCAACCATTTCCAAAGCTTTCACTTGATTCAACTTGGGCCTTTATTTCATTTTGGCCAATTTGTAGCCTTCATACACTCACAATGAGGACATTGTTTCCCTTAAGTTTGGAGGAGGGTCCTAAAAGTACCAAACACTATAGAGATCATGAAACATATGCATTAAGACCAAAAGACAAACAAAGGAACATAGTTCCATGTCTTGTGCATACAAAAGAGTGTCAAAGTACACCAGAATGTTTGAAAAGGACCAAAGTGTCCAAAATACCTCAATATGAGATGCATAGCAGTAAATTGTGCTATGGAGTGAAAAAAAGTAAGAAGAGGTAAAAGACATGCATTGAAAAGAAAAAGCCAAATGCAAGAACCCAATTCAAAGTCCCAAATTATCTGTTGAATCTAGTATAGCAATAGAAATGTAGGCTAGCTTATGGTTTGGCAATATGAAAGACTTAAGTTTGGGGGAGCTAGGTTTATGAAGGGCTATGGATATCAAGCATCAAGTCATGAGTAGAACACTTTCATTCAAAAAATTTCAAAAATATGCATACTTTCGCTATTGAATGTTTATGCTGAAATCTTTTAGTTTATTAGAACTTTGAGTCTTTTTATTTGTCATTTTCTGTTGTTTGGGGACAAGCAACAATTCAAGTTTGGGGGTGTGATAAGTGTTATTTTATTAACTTTATTACATCATTTTCTTAACCATTTTCCCTTGTTTTATTTGCCCATTAGTGTCTTAATTGAGTCTTTTTATGTCTTTTTCACATATTAGTAGTTATATAGTATATCTAATGTTAATTCCCTGTTTTTACAGGTTTTTGATGATTTTTGAGCCCAGTCCTACGGCAGTCCTACAGGACCAGGAGTGGCAAGGTCCTATAGTACCTGTCCGCGAGCTGAAATTCTACTTGGGCCGTGAAGAAAAGGGCTGATTCATAGAGGAGGCGTGGTCAACGACCTTGGGCCCGGTCAAAGCCCAATTTTGAAGAGGTTTTTGTCTTATTAGTTGGCACCCACTATGAGATCTTCCTTAGCCTATATAAAGAGGCTTAAGGCTTGTTTTAACAACAATTTTATACTTTCTACCATTTAACACTTGTGATATTAGTGATAATTGTTCTCTAGAATATTGCTTTCGGTTCTAAGCTTTCGTTTTACGTTGTTTGACTTTTCAAGAGCCAACTTTTGTAGTTGTGCTTTCATTCTCAAGTTTTAATTTAAGTATTCGTGTTTAATCTTCATCTCATTTYTRTTCTAAGTTACGTTACGTTTTCTTATCTTTTACGAGTTACGAATTAATCGATCGTTGTTGCTTTACATCGGATCT